ACGCCCCCCACTGGGGATGGGCCCGCAACCAAGGGACATGCCCCTGACCAGAATCGAACCTGGGACCCTTCAGTCCACAGGCCATCGCTCTATCCACTGAGCCAAACCGGCCAGGGCCAAATAGAGACTCTTGATGAAAATATCCATCTATTACACTTTATATAAACTAGATTGATTGAAAGTCTTCATTGTAAACAAAAATTATGTTTTCAATTATTTGAATCTCCATATTTGTACTGAACTATGTCTTTCCTTGTTTTTGTTATTTGTTAGAGTTACCTTTTCACTTTGAATAAGTCTCCTAGCAGTTAATGAAAAAGTTTGTATTTAATTTTTCATTAATTAGTATGCTTGGCAGATTTACATTTAAGCTTTCCCGTTTCTAATATGTTTATACTAATAAAAAAATTTCTAAGAAGTAAAAGAAATATTAATTGATACTATGAATGGTCAAAATCTGATATTTTCCCCTTTCTTCAAGTCAGTGTATGACTTTTTGGTAGAAAAATATTCTAATTTCTGCAGAAATAGCAAAACACTACAATACTTGGCATTTAGCTCTAGAGTCTAGAAATAAAACCAGCAGAGGAAGCATAAGAACATAAAACTAGTTTCTTAAGTCCCCTTAGATTAGTAAATGCTATGTCAGAGCCTCTGAGTATGACTATTAGGCTGATTCCATCACAACCCACATTTTTATGATCTTCTGTACTATAACAGAGTGACGGGGGAATGTTATGGCTCTGCACACGTTCCAAAAACTTGTCTGCTTCTGAGTTTGGATCTGGACTGACAAGAACTCCAAGATCACTTTATAATGGATCTGGGTTCATCTTAAGGTCTTTGTTTGTGGGATAGGGGAGGGAGGAGATTAAATAAATCTTTACAAAACCCCCTTTTCCAGAATTGTGTCTGCCTGAGTTTGGGACCTGTGAGGGGCCAAAATGGGCCTGCTACATAGGAGGAACTCGGTAACATGTTTGGACCACCATGGACTTTCTTAGACATCCTAGCTTTAAATGAGTTGTGCTATAGCCAGACTGGCAATGGGTAGATACTACTGTTCAGGAATAACAGCAAGTTAAATATGTGACCTGCTACATTTGCCTTCATGTTAGTTAGTGACCTTCTGGGGCCATATTCTGCCTTCCTCAAAGATACCTCATGATAAAATCATATGAAAATGCTTTAAACATTTTGAGAAAGACAAGATACAATGTCAAGCCCTAACCAGTTTTTCTCAGTGGATAGAGCATCGGCCTGCGGACTCAAGGGTCCCAGGTTTGATTCCGGTCAAGGGCATGTACCTTGGTTGCGGGCACATACCCAGTAGGGAGTGTGCAGGAGGCAGCTGATCGATGTTTCTCTCTCATCAATGTTTCTAACTCTCTATCCCTCTCCCTTCCTCTCTGTAAAAAATCAATAATATATATATTTTAAAAAAAGATACATTGTCAAGGTACCATTTTATATTAGAACTAACTTGCAATACATGAAACCCTTGGGCCACATCTGGTTCACCATATAGCAGTAAGCAGCAGCTACTTACCTTTTTTCTGACCTGAAGGCAGCAATACAGAATTCAGAGCACTCCTATCAGCTACCATATGGTGAACACCTAACTACTAAAGAGCCAAAAGGTCAGGCTTAACACCACCTCCACCTAAACCAAATCTGGGAGTTGGCCCGCCCATTATGGCTGCTGAGTTCACCACCTAAATTTTTACCTTAGGTCCATCCATTCCTTGCTTTCACATTACCACACTTCCAGGTACTAGCTTTCCAATTACACTCTCTACTCACTGTCAGAACAATCTTTTAAATTTGATCAAATTAACATATTTGCTTTTAAAAACTCTTTAATGGTCCATACAAGAAGCAACCGATGAATGCATAAATAACTGGAACAAAGAGATGTTTCTCTCTCTCTCCCTTCCTCTCTCTAAAATCAATAAAACAAAAAACCCCAAATACCTCTTTAATGGTGTCTCACTGACATGCCCTCAATGATCTGAACTGACTCTCACTTCCTTTCTGGCTGCCCCTACTTCACACTCAGAGTTCGAGCCCAAAAGAGTTAGTAGGTGTTCCCAAGAGAGCCACACTCTTGCAAATCTCCATGCCTTGGACCATGCGGATTTTTTTCCTGCCTAGATTGTTCTTACTTTTCCATGAATTCAACACTTACTAGTACTCCTCCCCCAAAGATCTAAACTCAAACCACACCTTCCCTGGGGAGGCCTTCCCTGACTAACTCCCACTTGCATCCAAGCTGGTGCCCATTCTTGGTTCTTGGAGACACTTAGGGCCTGCTTCCCCACTGTCCTTGCCACCAGGCACTAGAATTACTGGTTTAGCTTTTGTCTCTCTCACTGGGCTGTAAGAAATTTTAGGACAGTGACTGTGCCTTTTAATTCGGTGACTGAGAATAGAGCCTGAGATCAACTAGAGAGCTCACAGGTGTAAAGAGACAAGGGTCCAGGGCAGAAACCACAGAGACACAAAGGAGATGAGAAAGAGCAGTTGGAGATGCAGAAGAAAACTGGAAGACAGCACGTGTCACAGAAGCCAAAGGAGGCCAGTTAAACGCAGGAAGGAATCGCAATGTAAAATGCCGCCGCTGAAAGGTTTAAGTAGGGCATAGTTTAAACCATGTCCACTGGACTTAGCAAACAGCAGGCCATTGGCTGGCTACCTTGGGGAGAGCAGTTTGAGTGGACTGATGAGACAGCCAAATTACAGGTGGCTGGAAAGGAAATGGGAGATGAAGAATTTGAAGCAGCTAGGAAAAGGATATTCTTTTAAAGCATTGCTGTTTGCTATAACATGAAGATTATGCTAAATGAAATAAGCCAGTCAGAAAACAAATACTATGATTCTATTCACAGGAGGAATGGTAGTAGTCAAATTCATAGACAACAGAAAGCAGCATGGTGTTTGCCAGGGCCTGGGGGAAAGAGGGGAGTTAGTGTTTAATGGGTACAAAGTTTCCATTTTGCAAGATGAAAAATGTTCTGTAGATAGATGGTGGGGTGATAGTTGCAAAAAAGTGTGGATGTATTTAATGCCATTGAACTGCACAGTAAAAAATGATTAAAATTGTAAACTTAAGATTAGGTATAGTTTACCACAATTTTTTAAGAAGAGAAAAAACATTGCTATTAAAGACATTGCTACAACAGGACATGGACTGAGAGGATTTGTTTGTTTTTATCAGAGAGGCAAGAAACCTTAGCATGTTAATAAACTGAGAAGAGTGAGTTAGTCAAAAGGGAGAGAAGGGAATGACTTTGGTGCTGAGACCCTGAGGAGACTGAGCCTAGGGCCAGAGGACAGCAGGCTCCTGCTCCAGGCAGAAGGGAAAGAGAAGGAGGGGTAGAAAAGTTTATTGGGGAGAAAATGGGTGGGCAAAAAAAATATTTTTTTAAAGCTTCTATCTGATAACATCTATTTTTCTTTGAAGGAAGCGGCTGGAATGGGAGGCAGTGGGGGCTGAGGGAGAGTGGGGAAGGTCTGAGAAAGCTGTTAAGGGAATGGCAGGAGTGTACTGAGGATCAGTAATCACGTGCAGGGGTTAAGAGGCAGTTCCTGACTCTGCACTGGGATGATGAATCCGCACCTGTGATGATGGGCTAAGACTCCCAGCATAACTTGCAGCTGGGTCCTGACCCAGTCAGTGGCTGACAGCACAAGGAGAGAGCGTGGATAGTGAGTGAACCATGGACAAAATTTACAGAGGAAGAACAAAGGGGCCCTGAGCTGAGCATGTTGGGAAGCACATGGCTAAAAGGGCTACACTGGGAAGGAAGAAAAGATGGGCTGGAAACATAGGGCAATGAGGGATCAAGGAGCGGACTTCTCAACAAGGGGAAGAGCAAGTGGAGTTGGAATAAGGGTTTAGGGAAGCAAAAGATTAGGAGATTGAAGTTAGCAGTGAAACATAGAAGTTTAAGATTCCTGAGGTGGGAGAGTTCTGGACCCTACCAGGCCAGGATTGGCCAGGGTATAAGTGGCTAAAAAGAGTAATCCAATCAGAGAGAACTGAGTCCTAGCCACAGGGGATATGTTTCTGTGTATCTTTCCTCCCAAACGTAAAGATAATTCAGATGATCTTTTAAGAATCTTTTTCTCTGGGTTCAATTTTCTCCCATTCCTTTTTTTCCCTTTAGGAAATCCCTTATGACCTAGGTACTATCCCTTTTTACACCCTCATTCACCTACTTTTGTTCTTATATGGTGCCTAAACTCAATATTAACCTTGTTGTGTACTCAACCACGGGTGTAATCTGCAGAAGATAAAGCCCATTAAAAACCATGAAAACAGGCAGTGACTTATTTTCCAAGGTTAACATCACACATTAAAAATACTAGTAAAAAATGAATCATCATCACCTATTCAAGACTTCCAAAGGCTGTGTGTATATTTTACATTACCTTGTTTAAATGACTCTGAGCAGGCTAGTAACATAAAGGGAGTCTTGGGTTTTAAACGGGAAAGAGCCCAAAAGGAAGGGAAGTTAAAGAAGAACTTTTACCTTTTCATACAACCTGGTTACCCATGATGAACATATTTTTCATTTCACTTGTCTTGGAAGTGGGAGTCAGTCTTGCCCGCCATCTCCTAGATCCAATGATGGCAAGGACAGACTGAGGCAGCTGTCCTTTTGGCTTTTGGGGGTTTCTGCAGTTGCCACATAGTCTCAAACAATGTCTCATTAACATGTGCCAACACTGGCTCTCTCTGGGGCAATATGACAAAGAACCAAATTGCTAACATTTTCAAAATAGATTGAGTCCTCTTTTGTTTGTATTGATGGTGAAAATTTTTGACATTATATTCTAATGAACCATTCTGAAATCAGTTAAGTGTATCATGTGTATCTTTGTATAAGCCCAAAGTACACCCTGTCACATTCACATCTTATCTGAAACCAGAACATGCAGCACGTGCAAGCTCCCTGAGAGAGCAAGTGGCACATGGATTTTGCTTTCAGTCCCACCTGTATGTCCTCTGAATGTTGTGACCAGGGTGCAGTTTTCTTGCTCCAGTTTGAGGATGGTTACTTGGCCTGAATGGTCACCAATAAACACATGCCGGGTTTCAACATCGAATCTATCATATAAGCATTAAGGATTTTTCTCAAATGAGTGGAGGGATTTATAAAAACAATAAATGTAAGAAAGATAGAAAAGTGGACATAACAAAATGAAAACACAGTATTAGTGGACAGTAAGACTCAACATGATACAGATGTCAATTCTCACATGAATTTATAAATTTAATATAATTCCTATAAAAATATCAACATGTTTTCTTCCTAGAGTTAGATATGTTGATTCTAAAGAAAAACAAATAAGCAAGAAAAGCCAGGAATATTCTGAAAATAACAGTAATATGGCATGTGATGGGGAAAGCTAGCCCTATCAGATATTAAAACGTGTTATAAAATTTCTTTAATTAAAAGTGTGGCACAGATGCATAATTGACAAACGGACCACTGGAACAGAACAGAAAGTCTAGAAACAGACCTAAAAGCATAGAGAAATTTGTTACATGTCTACTAAAGGTGGCTCTTCAACTAATAAAGATGGATTTTTTTTTTTAAAAAAGGATACTGACACAAACTGAATAGTCATTTGGAAAAATTAAATAGGATTTGTATTTCACATTATATACCAGGACAAATCCATATGAATTAGAGATCTCAATGTAAAAAATTAAAAAAATATGAAAGGTCTAGATGGAAGAGTTCCTTTATAACCCTAGTGGAAAAAGCTATTACTATCAAAAACACAAACAACAAACAAATGCAATAAGTAAAGCTAAAAGACCAATTGAAAAAAAACATATTTGCAAATTAAGTCACAAAAGGCCCAAATCTCTAATATATAAAAAGAGCAATCAAGAAAAAAACCATAAGCCTAATAGAAAAATGGGGAAAATATATGAATAGTTCAAGAAATGAAAATGTTGCTATGCAAAAACGCATTAACCTAGCAGGTCTGACTGCTATCCTTTGAAAGGTTGTCTAAAAGGCTGACATGGCATCTGGGAACTTGGATTTTAGGAGGGTTTCCGCCACTAACAGACAAGAGTGGCTAACTGTGCCTTAACTGCACAAACAATATGGTTTATGACAAACACCCACTTTCCTTGTGAGAGTCTGAAAGTTTGGTACATGCCACGCAGAGGCTGCCTATGTGACCAGTACAAGTCGAAGGTGCTGAGTCTCTAGTGAGATTTCCTGGTTGATAATGCCTAGCAATAATCCTACCTCTAGAGATCTGTCCTGGAATACACTGGCAAAAATACAAGACACATGACGGAGGCTATTCACTCTGCATTATGGTAACAACTGAAGTTTGAAAACAACCCAAAAGCCCATGAAACTGGGACTTATTAATTTAACTATGACATATCCATGCAGCGGGAGGAAAAAAAGACCTCCATAAGCAAACTGACATGGAGTAACTTTCAGGATATATTATTAAGTTGGGGGGGGGGTAATATGTTTTACTACCTTTGTGTAAAAAAGGGAGAAAATATAAATATAAGTGTATGTGTGCTCATATTTAGAAAAGAAAACCCTGGAAGGATAAATCAAGATCTAACAAAAATGGCTGCCTATGGAGAAGAGAGAAACAAGTTGAGGGGGCAGAAATGAGAATGAGACTTCTCTCTTGTTATAGAGTTTCCATTTTATAATCTTGTAATACTTTTACACATTAAAAATATTTATAAAATTAAAAAATCCCCCAAATTGACAATATTGTAAAATGAATGAACCTAATTATCAAATTGGTGATATAACCACATAGTTAACACAATTATTTCAAGTGACTTCAAAGCACAGCATTTTGACTGTGCATCCTTTGTAGAACATATTTAAGGACAATGAGAAATGCAAAGAAATCTAAAACCTCATCCAGTAGTCTTGTTATTACAATATTACTATTATTATTGAAATATTATATGTGCTGATAATTTATTATTTAAAAAAATACACATACATATATTTTCTAACTATCTCTAAATACTATTCCTCACTAAAAGAAGTGGCTGATTGCAGGAGTGGAATGGGAAGGTACAAGAGGAACTTAAGACAGTTGTGCCAAAAAGCAAGGAAACGATCAGAAGCTATGGGAATATAAAAAAGACACAGGGATGAATCATGTCTTATTGGCCTAACTCTAAATCCAAATCACTTATAAGTTTAGTTTCACTTTAGTTGAAAACTTCAATAACCTTCCCTCCCAGGCTCTTTACCTTGGTCCTCTCTCCTTTCATCTCCCAATATGCTCTATAGCTGGGAAGAGGGGGAAGGCAAAATCTTTTTTAATTTTCTTTGACTTGGCCATTTTGAATTCACTTAGCTGCTGGGTAAACTTAATTGCTTTTTACAAAAGAAAAATGTCTATGTAGGTTTCATGTTAACAATGCTTTAAGAGCTGGTGAAAGGTGTGGCCACACTACTTCGGTTTTAAGCTTTCTACCTTATTTTCCTCCTACCTTCCTCTTTCCTCACATGCCATCCAGTGAGAAGACCTGCCCCTCAGTCTTGTCAATGTACCTGAGAGGTAGGAGCAGAAACACTGTCTCCACTAAAACTGAAATGGTAGACCTGTAAATGTGGGAAAACTATACTCGTTACAGCCCTGCCACCCCTTGTTGTGTGTGTATATATAATACTTTGTCCTTCATCTGTAACAGATCCTGTGTTGGAATTCTTTGGTGTAAATAAACGTTTGGTTTTATTTATCAAGAAAAAAAAGGACACAGGAACCAATATGATGGGGCTCTTACTGGCCAAAGGTGGGACAATAAGAGCATTAAAAAAAAGCAATTTATTGGAATATAATGAATATATTGTTTAAAAGACAAACAAAACCTAAGAGTTTATAAGAGTCCCACTCAACAAAAGCTATTTGGAAGAGGGCTGAAATAAAATTATAGTACAACCTCAAAGCCAGAGTGATTGGCATTAAATATGACATGAGGAAATATGAAAACCAAGATAACCTTAATAGCTTTTCAGTACTCGCTCCCAGAATAGGAACAGATCTAAGAGACTACTTGGTGGAAAGGCATTTCACTATGTAGGGTGACATCTTGAAAATATCTCCGACATGAACAGAATGTTAAAATGAAGAGTATCTGAATTATTTTGTGGAAAATATGATTTAAAAAAAGGCCAAATGACAGGACTGAAAGGTGAGGCTGGATAGAGTAGAACAATTTATGGACTATGAAGTGGGGAGGGAAACAGTTCTATTTCCTAACTTCAACTGCCATGGGACTTCTGAGAAACAGCTCCATTCTACAGTATCCGGTTATGCAGAGAAGTAGCTAAAAGATTACCAAACTCAAATTCTATTCCTGGTTCTTAGGTAACGGTTATGTGACCTCGGAGAGTCACGTAAGCTACCTGAGCCTCTCTGAGCCTTTAGTTTCAACACTATGAAAATTGAGAATTAGTTCTTTTTTGTTTTTATTTTACCTTACTGTATTCATGGTGAACAAAGTAACATTAAATAGAAACACTATATAAGCCCTCAGGGACTGCAAATGTAATTATTCTTTTTCTATCTTTCTCTGCATTATTATTATTATTTAGACTGTTTAATATCTGAAGATTCAGATCTTTAGCCAACACAATCAAAGATTTTGAGGTTATTCAGAAAGAATTCAATTTGTAAACTGGTCAGTCTCTGTCAGTCTCTGTCTTCCTTTATTCCTCTACTTCATTGCATATTTACTCTCCACTAAGAGGCCTAAAAGAAGAGAGACTCTGGCAAGGGCAGCACTGTATGCCATCAATGTGCAGCACTGGAAAATTATCAGGAATGTATATGCTCCTAGGAGTAAGAGCTGGCTGGCACTGTGGCTCCAAAATTGGAGCTAGAGAGGCAGAGCTAATGGAGGTAATGGAATCTGTCTGTAGTACTGCAATTCCCCTCCACCTTAATAGCAAGATTAGACTGGATAGTCGTGGATACTGGGAAATGAAGCCACAGGCTCTCTCTCTCTCTCTCTCTCTCTCTCTCTCTCTCTCACACACACACACACACACACACACACACACTTTGCTTGATAAAACCACATGGCTGTGGCCAAAGGAAACAGTCGAAAAACAAGGGACAAAAACTACCAAAGTCAAGTCAAGTTTAACTCTGTGTTTTTGTGTTTCATTTTCAAATAGTTTAAAAAGTAAACTCGCCCTGGCCGGAGTGGCTTGGTTGAGCATCATCCCGTGCACTGATTCCCAGTCAGGTTGCAGCTCAATCCCCAATAGGGGGTGTAAAGGAGGCAGTGGATAGATGTTTCTCTCTCACATCGATGTTTCTCTTTCCTTTCCCCTCCCTCTCTCTCTAAAATCAATAAAAAAAACTTCTTAAGGGCAAGATCTTTATATTTCTCTACTCCTTGGTTTGGTTAGTGATATAGATGATAAATCACTAGGTGTGGCTAGTAATAGAGAAGCCAGCATATTAAGAACAAATTACATTGCTGCCATTAGTTCTGTTCTCAAAAGAGTAATGCAGTATGATGGGGAAAAACAGCAGTCCAAGCAGAATCTAGGTTCTAGCGGTGATTTTCCTACATCTTAGGTGGGTGGCCACACATAGGGCCCATGACGATTCCTGGGCTTCAGCTGACTCATCTGGGAAATGAGGCATTGGACTGGACGGTCTCAGGCTCTTTCAGCTCTAACGCTATAAGAAATCATTAATGTACTGGCAAGATAATTCATGCCAATTCATTTACTTTAAAAAGTAAACTTTGGAATTTCTTTTATTAACAGGTGGTACCACCCTCTCAAAGGAAAGTTGATTCTCCTCTTCATTTCTTACTGTCCTTGCTTCTGGTCTTCTTGGTAATTTGCCATTTTACAACATTCTACAAAAGCCATTCTTAATTTCTTCATCTTGTCCTTCCAGTGAGAAAAAAAAAAAGTGACATTACCCCATACACACAAAAATACAGCTACTGCAAAGAAACAGTAAAGTATTTCTTCAGACTGTTGAGAATTGCTGAATAAGCAAGTTTACAAATAAGGTGAAAAATCTGAAAGCAAATCTTACTATTTCTTCCTACTTTGGCTGACAAGTGATCTGTTCCCACCTATTTTCTTATCTGCCAGAAGGTGAAGAGAGTTCTGCATCTTTTAAATCAAAGGCAGGGTCCTTGCAACAGTAGCATTATCCAAACTTATTAAGCCTGTGCTTGCTGGAGGCCAGATGTGAGGATTACTCAGCATTAGCAGGTGTTCACACTGAGCACATGGCTCCTGGAGACTTGGGAGATAGAAATAATACCATTCTACATATCCTGGAAAAGTCTTGGACCTGGAACAAAGCCTGTAGATACCAGCTGACCTACTCAAGTCCTGGCACGGTAGCCTCTCAAATATTTTTTAAATGAATAGGAATACTGTGGTTCTTCTGCCAGGCACCAATGGGCATGTTCACAACCTTAGTATCTATGTGTAAATTAGTTCTGTACAAAAATAAAAGACTGTATTTCAGTGATGGTTTTATCCTCATGTTTTGCAATTGCTTGTGACAGCTGAGACTCACAATCTGGGCTGTGTTCTAGCTAGATGTCAGGGTTTGGATCATAGTAGACCACAATCTACTTATTTTAGGTGAAATAAGCTCACTTTACTCCTCCTACATGAGGAATTGTTCATTAGAAAAGTCTATGAGTATCTTAATCAGCGGGGTAAGTTAGCAAATAAAAAAACTTTCAAGTTGCACATCCCCAAAATTTTCTTGAAAGAAATAAGTCAGCAGCTAAGTTCCCACCAAGGAATTTTCTCCAGCAAAGGATACTGCAGGCCCGAGGCCACAGCACTGGTGCGATAACCTCCCAGGCGTTGCCCACTCTCAGAGCAGTGCCAGGCAAACTGCTTGTCTTGTCCCGTGCTCAGCACCCACTCCAGCTCCAGGACAAACAGGATCATCGTCACTCTGCTCTGATGTGCTGAAAACCAAGAGGCAAGAAAACAACCCATAAAGTATCCTAAAGGAGGCTGGTAAAGCATGGCCCACAGAGATGCATCGTTCTCTTCTCCCCTCCCAAACAAGCTAGCACGGGTAGGAGAGGGGTTCTCAGCTGCGGTGAGGGCATGCCACTGTAAAGGGGCACATCGGAGCTCTTATAGATGAAGTCTGGCTTATAAATCTACAACAAAGTTCTAGATCAACTGTCTGTAAGAAATCAAACACTTGGAATGGAGGGCAGAATTAGGCCCAAGTGCTAAATAAAAGTGAATGAAATATCCCTTATGTCAAAGTACATATATGTGATGAGAACATATTTCCTAGGGTTGCTCATACACAAGAGCAACAACATCATAGAATTATTGCACCGCACAACTTCAGAGTTAGAAGAAACCACTCATGTCATTTACTCCATCTCCCTGGGGAACTGAGGCACAATACAGTTCAGTATTTTGGTCAAGGTCTAGTGGCTTCACAATTACCAAATAAAATCAGTAAAATATTCGCTTTCTTCTTAATATACAATCCCAGGGGATAGGAAGAGGGGGCTGTGGCCACTGAACAGAGCTGACTGGAATAAACGGAGATGAACATCCTGGAACCTGGGCCTGCTGGGTCCAGTCTGGTGAGCAGAGTAGACTGATCACAGGTGTGATGCAGTGACGGAGAAGACAGCAGTTTCCCATTCTGATCAGCTGCCAGTTTCTGTGTGTCTAACAAGTACCAGGTACTTAAATCCATTATCTCAGTTATAGTGACCCTGCAAGAATGGGGGGTTGCCTCATTTTACAGACATTACTTGGCCTTGGCAAGATGGCCCTTTCAGATTGACTCCCAACAATACACTCAGAACCAGAGTGAATACCCACAGGACAGTCATTTCACCAAATGCCTGATGTTTTAAAATTTGGTATTTGAATCATGAGAATCAAAGGGATACAAAAAAGGTATAGAAGCAATATTACAACTTCTCTACAGTAAATGTCTGCCTTTCAGAGTATCAGCCACAATCAAGAAAAAACATCTTTAACTAAAAGAGTGACTTCCTGGAGAAACTCTGAAGATTTGTCATGTCTGTGTCATCAGATGTCTAATTAAGTTCCACCAACAATGGGATAAAAGCAAACTCTCTAATGCAGCGGACGCCAACCTTTCGGACCTCACGGACCACTGGTTGGCAACCACTGCTCTAATGGGTCCAAGTGTACCTGCGTCTATTTTAGGCAGAACATGGCTCCCAGCACTTTGCCCCTTTTTCTCATGAAGGGACCTTTGACCTCCTATTTATTACTTTCTAAGTCCAAGGGGATGACAGTGGCCCACAAGATAAGGGGGGTGGGGGGAAGCAGGGATGTTAGCCCTCTGAGCTGCCATCATGTGACAGAGGAGAAAGAGGAGTTGAGCGACTTGTTCAAAGGTAGATAACCAATGAGTGACGGAGCTGGACTTAAAACCCTAGTCTCTCGGCCAAGTTGGTTTTCTTTCTCTGTGTCAGGTTATGACTCTGAAAAAGAAACAAAAAACAAACCCCCCACACATACTCTTTTTAGGGTGACAGAATTCTTTTATTCAAAAAGAAATCCTTTAAAGGTCATACATAACATTAAGCTTCAGAAACCTGGGCTTGAAGCCTATAGTTCTTGAATGGCAGTGGTGAGAAAGGACATCTTTGCCTTGATCCTGATTTGAAGGGAAAGCACCTAGTTTCTCACAAGTATGTGGGTTTTTTGTCCATGTCTCCTTATCAAGTTGAGGAAGTTTCTCTCTATTCGTAATTTGCTGACAGTTGTTTTTTGTTTGTTTTGTTTTTTTTTATCATGAACGGATGTCAGATTTTATCAAATGCTTTTTCTGCATCAGTTGATATGATCATATGATTTTTTCTTCTTTAGCCTTTTGATGGAATGGATTACACTAATTTTCAAATGCTGAACCAGCCTTGAATATCTGGAATAAATCCTACTTGGTCATGGTACATAATTCTCTTTATATATTATTGAATTTACTAGTGTTTTTTTGAGGATTTTACATCTACGTTCTTGTGAGATACTGGGACTGTAGTCTTCCTTTCTTGCAATGTCTTTGGTTTTGGTATCACTGATTGATTTAAAAAATATTTATTGAGATAAATTTCACATAATAGAGAATTCGCCATTTAAACCATTCAGCGGTCTGTAGTATATTCACAATGTTGTATAGTCATCATGAAAAATTTTCCAGAACATCACCCTCAGCTCTAAAATAAACCCATATCCTCAAATTCCCCTTCTCCCATATCTGGAAAACCATTAATTTACTTCCTGTCTCTATGGATTTTCCTGTTTTATTATTTCATATAGATGCAATCATACAATGTGTGGTCTTTTGTGTTTACTTTCTTTCTATTAGCATGATTTCAAGTTCATCCATGGTATAGCATGTATCAGTACTTCATTCCTATTTTTATGGCCAAATAATAATTCATTATATCAATATACCACATTTTATTTATCCATTCATCCACTGATGAAAATTTAGGCTGTTTTCACTTTTTGGCTATTATGAATAATGTTGCTATGAATATTTGTGTACAAGTTTTTGTGTGAATACATGCTTTCAATTCTCTTGAGTATACAGGAGTGGGCAAAAGTAGTTTACAGTTGTAAGTACACGAAACAGAGTTTATTCTTGTATTATTACTTATTAATCACTGTATTATTTATTACGAACAACTATAAACCTACTTTTGCCAACCCCTGTATAACTAGGAGTATAAATACTATGTTACAGGGTAACTCTATTTTTAACTCTTTCAGAAACTGACAAACTATTTACCAAAGTGGCTACACCATTTTACATTCCCACCAGCAGTGTAAAAGGGTCCCAATTTTTCCATATCTTTGTCAACACTAGTTCCCCCTCTACCTTATTTGAGAGGAATTAATATTTATGCACTGATGAACTATGTTTCAGGTATTGTACTAAGAAATTTTATATATGCAATCTCTTTTTTATTGTAGTTAAATAAAACATAAAATTTACCATTTTAATCATTTTTGAGTGTACAATGCTGTGGCATTAAATACATTTACATTATTGTATAAACATTACCACCATCCACTCTCCAGAACTTTCTCATATTCCCAAATAGAAACTCTGTACCCATTAAGCACTAATTTCCCATTTACCTTCCCCCAACCCCTGGCAACCACCATTCTACTTCCTGCCTTTACAAGTTTGACTACTACCTCATATAAGTGGTATCACACCATATTTGTTTTTTTGTGACTGGCATATTTCACTTAGCATAAGTCTTCAAGATTCATCCATGTTGTAGTGCATGTCAAAATTCCTTTATATGTATGCAGCACCTTTTCTTCCACCGTTTGGATATTATGAATAATGCTGCTATGCACATGGGTATACAAATATCTGTTTGCGTCCCTGTTTTCATTTCTTTGGGTATAAACCTGGGAAAACCTCACTTGGTTGTGATGTACTATCCTTTTTATATATAGATGAATTTGATTTGCTAACATTTTGGTTAGATTTCTTACATCTATTTTCATGGGGGATGTTGGTCTGCAGATTTCTTAAACTGTCTCTGTTTAGTTTTAGTATCTGAAAATGCTGAATTCATAAAATGAGTTAAAAAGTCTTTTATTTCTTCAATTTCTCAGAGTTTGTATTGTTTCTTCCTTGTTTGGCAAAGTTCACCAGTAAAGCCATCTGGACCAGGAGTTTACCTTGTGGGAAGATTTTAATCATAGAGTCAATTTCTTTACTAGATATAGGACTATTAGGATTATCTATTTCTTCTTGAGTGACTGTAGCAGTTTGTACTTTCAAAGATTTGTTCATTTCATGTAAGTTGTAAAATTTATTAGCATAAAGTTGTTCATAATATTCCTTATTTTCCTTTAAATATCTCTAGAATCTATAATAATATCACTTCTCTCATTCCTAATATTGGTAACTTGCATTGTCTCTATCTCTCTGGTAAGTCTGACTAGAGATTTATCACTTTATTGATCTTCTCAAAACAAAAACAAAACACAGCTTAGCTTTGCCTCATCTACTGCGAGGATGAAAACCATTCTGAGCAATCCAACTGTCTACATTTCAGAAAATGTCACCATCATTCTGAAGGGATATACAGTTATGGTGAAGGGCCCCAGAGGCACCCTCCGGAGGGACTTCAATCACATCAATGTAGAACTCAGTCTCCTTGGAAGGAAAAAGAAGAGACTTCGGATTGACAAATGGTGGGCAAACAGAAAGGAACTGGCCACCATTCGCACTATCTGCAGTCATGGACAGAACATGATCATGGTCTTCCGTTACAAGATGAGGTCTGTGTATGCTCACTTCCCCATCAACATTGTTATTCAGGAGAATGGTTCTCTTGTTGAAATAAGAAATTTCTTGGGTGAAAAATACGTATAACCACAGGGTTCAGATGAGGTCAGGCATTGCTTGGTCAATCTCTCAAGCCCAGAAAGATGAGTTAATACTTGAAGGAAACAACACTGAACTTGTATGAAATTCAGCTGTATTGACTGAGCAAGCTACAACAGTTAAAAAAAAGGATATCAGAAAATTTTTGGATGATATGTACATTTCTGAAAAAGGAACAGTTCAGTAGGCTGATGAATAAGATCTAAGTTGTCCGGCTACAGCACCGGCAAGATGCCAAATGATTCCTCAGACTTATTTGTGATATATATATTTTGTTAATCCTCACTGGAGGATATTTTTCTATTGATTTTTAGAGAGAGTGGAAGGGAGGGGGAGAGAGAAAGAGAGATAGGAGAGGAGAGGAGACATCAATGTGAGAGAGACACATCGATTGGCTGCCTTCTGTACACGCCCAACAGGGGCTGGGTATTAAAACTGCAACCCAGGGACACGCCCTTGGCCAGGAATCAAACTAGCAACCCTTCCGAGCCTGGGCTGACACTCTAACCACTGAACCACAGTGGCCAGGGCTATTGTGATATT